ACTCCTCGGAAGGAAGGTTGGGCAATCTACTTCCGTAGTGATACTGCCTCGGAAACCCAAGAAGGGGTCACTATGAGTCAGGGGCAACTTGATGGCACATAACAACAACAACAATAACTAGTGAAACCATCTCACCTTTTAAAATATATAAAATTTTAGACTTTCTTTTTGGAGTTTGTTTTTATATGTTGACCTATATGGTGTTTTATTCATTATCAACATAGTCTTTTACAGAAACAAAAAATTGTCTCTTAATATATCTTTATGGTATTTTTCCTTCCATTCTTTGTTGTTAGGGACACAAACAAAAAGTATGTGAAAGATGTATATTTATAAACTGTATTTGCTCCAATCAAAAATTTAAAAAATAGGCTTTACAATATTCTAAGTATAGTAGTTATAGTTTCCTCTATTATTGAAAGTCATTAGTAAATGTTTTAAAACATCACATTAGTATACATTAAATATTACTATTTTTCTACTTAAAATTATATAAAAGGATTTAAGAAGATTAATCTTATGTTTTATACTTACTGAGAGGTTCAGTATCTGAAATACTATTTCTAATCTGCAGCTGATCCCTTGAATCTAAAACTTTATCCAAAGGCAAAGGACTTTCATCAGCAATCTCATCTGCTTCTGGACCTGCAAAAACAGAAGCCTAAATTACAGAAAAGAAAAACAGATTCTTAAAAATCTTGGCAAATTATAAGATCTTTCTGTACTTGTTCTGACAACTTTGTCTTTTTTCCTCTTATAAACATATAACACATGTTCAAAATGACCCCTTTGTTTTCTTTCCATATTGCTTTTGTCTTTTTTTTTGCATTTGCTTCCAAACCAAACTCACTACCATGGAGTCAGATCTGACTCATAGTGACCCCTCCTTGGTTTTCCAAGGAAGTATCATTATGGAAGTAGATTGCCCAATCTTCCTTCTGAGGAGTGTCTGGTAGGTTTGAAAGGCCAGCCTTCTGGTTAGCAGTCAAATGCCTTAGGCACTACACTATCACTGCTCCCTGCTTTTGCTTAAGCACCTAAAAATCAAAACTCAATGTATACCAAAAAGGACAGTTAAGAGTTATTTTTCTGAATGAATTTTTAGTAATAGCTACATCTATTATTTGTTCATGCCTTTCTTAGTCATTTACAATATTTGACAAAGTTTTAAAATATGAAAGTTAAGGTAGATATACAGTAATAAATTCCAGACCAAATGTCCACTGAATATAATTTTTAAATACTTAGTAATATTTGTTACTATCATACTTACTACCATGTTTTCACTTTGAGAAACTCCTGGTTTCCCAAACTGTGTTTGGTCTTTTAACTCTGAGTCTTGGTATATGGACATTAACCTGCTATCAATTACTTCATCCTTTTTCACATTTATAAAATAGACACTAAATTTAATATACTTTGAATACATTAAATTGAGAAATATATACTGTGTAATCTCTGAATAGAGATGATATATTCTTCCCTCTTTACATAAACATTATATTTTCACATATAAATATATTTCAATAGTCTTCAAATTGTTTCCTTAAACTATGTTAATGTTGCAAGCTTAAAAACCTTGAAACACAAGCAATAAGCTATAATTATGAAATAAATTTGGTGTGACAGTCAAGAGAAAGATTATTGTAAGTGATTTATTATTCCTAATTATTAATTTATGGTGTCACCTAAACCCAAAACCAAACTCACTGCCATTGAGTTGATTCCAACTCATAACAACCTCCTTTGGGCTTCTGAAGCAGTAAATCTTTTTGGAAATAGATTGCATAGTTTTCCTCATGCAGAGTGGCTGGAAGATTTGAACTGCTAACCTTCTGGGTAGCAGTCAAATGTCTAGGCACTACGCCAATGAAAGACTATTGTAAGTGACTTATTGTTCTTAATTATTAATTTATGGTGTCATCTAGGCATTAAAAATGCTTTTAATTCTAGTTCCAACTTTCTACTGCAGTTGCAGATGTTTTAAATTATAAAAAGGATGTTACATACTTAGAACTAAAAATTGTCCTAAATATATTTTTTATAAAATAATGAAGGAATCTACTTACCACTTTGTCTATCAGGTTGAACACTTCCATGTTTTTCAGTTTGAGATGGGACATGTGAGTCTAAGCCTTGATCCACTGGCAAACTTGTATCTCCTACATTGTCTAGTTTTTGATCTACAAAAGTATATGGTTTTAGCTTACAGATAGCTTGTGTACCTTGAAAACATATTCTCATATTCTCCTCCTCTTTTTTAACAGGAATGTTTTATATTCTCTCATTACAAAAATATACATACCAATTTCCAATATGTTCCTTTTACTTTTAACATTTTAAGTTAATAGCCATGTTGCATGTACATGAAATACAGGGGCTATTTATAAACTATGATAATAAATTGTTAACATAAAAATAAAACTAGACAAAATATAGGAAAAAATATTTCAGGCAGTGGAAATAGCAAAAAGACATAATTCTGAGAAAAGAAATACATTATTTGCCTTGGCCTTTTTTTTTTTTTTAGTGTACGATTTGGATAAAGACTTACAGAGTAAATTCACTTTTCATACAGCAGTTCACATATACTTTTTTTAGTGGTATTATGCTATAAACCTCATTCTACATCTTACTTTTTCCACTCTGTACAATGCTTTTCTTTTCTTTTCCTTTTTTTTAAATCT